GGATATTTGCTGACTCAGAGCATAATTTAATTTAAAAAAGCCCAAGCCTTTAGCTCAAGGAATATAACAAGAAGGATGGAATTTCAGGCACTTATTAAACATAGGGAGGGCTGTCCAGCCCTGGGGGATGGGTGGTTACTTAGAATAGAGTCTTTGCTTGTGGCAGAATTAGAGAAACATCATGTTTTCACTGGAGTGTGGGATTCTGGTGAATTAAGGATTTCTTGATATCGTGAGTTACTGGGAAGAATTGATTGTCAGATATCTTCCTCTGGAAGGAAAAGGGAAGAGAACCACCATTTATCAAATACCTAATGTATCTATCTATATATTATATTATAATAATGGGTGTGATGTATGTAATATATATTATAAACAATATGTTACATTACATTGTTTAATCTCTACCACTGGGTAAAACTGGTATTCCGATCTTACGACTAAGTAATTTACATAAGTTCTAATAATAGTTAATAAGTGGGAGAACAGGGCTGACCTCAATTTTGGCCTCAATTATACCACTTAAGTTCTTCCCACATCACCATATGGCCCCCTAGAAGAGAGTTTTATTTCTCTTTTCATAGCTTTAAAATAGCACACAGCTTTATCTGAGGTATAATTGTTACACAAACAGCACATGTTTAAAATGTACAGATCAGTAAGGTCTGATACGTGTATACGCCCGTGAAACTATCACCATGAGCAACATTGTGATATTCATCATCCCCCCAAAGTTTCATGTCCCTTTGTAAATCCTCCCTCTACCCACTCCCTACTCCACACTCCTCAGACAAACCCTGATCTGCTTTCTGTCACTACAGAGATTCATTTGCATTTTCTAAAATGTTCTATAAATGAAATCATATGCTATGCACTCTTTTTTGATTGCTTTCATTGAACAGAATTATTTTGGCATTCATCTATGTTGTATGAATCAATGATTCATTCCTTTTTTACTGCTGAATAGTATTCCAGCATATAAATATACCACAGTGTATTTATCCATCCACTTGTTGACGGACATGTGGCTTGTTTCTAGGCTATTACAAATAAAGCTGCAGTGAACATTCATGTACAAGTCTTTGTATGAACATAGACTTTAATTTCTCTTGGGTAAACACCTAGGAGTAGAATGATTGGATCATATACATATAGGTGTATGTTTAGCTTTTTAAGAAACTGACTAACAGTTTATAAAATGTTGGTACCATTTTACATACCCACCGGCAGTGGGATTGTTCCAGGTCCTCCATATTCTCACCAACTTGGTAAGGTCAACCTCTTAAATTTTCTAATAGGTGTGTAATGGTACATCACGGTGATTTTAATGTTCACTTCCCTAATGATTAAGGATTTTGAGCATCTTTTCATGTGCTTATTTGCTTTCCATGTATCTTCTTTGGTGAATTATCTGTTCAGATCTTTGGTCCATTTTTTTTAAAGTATCGTATTTTATTTTTTTAAGTTTTTTTGTGGGGGAGTAGGTAGTTAGGTTTATTCATTTGTTTTTAGAGGAGGTACTGGGGATTGAACTCAGGACCTCCTGCATGCTAAGCATGTGCTCTACCATTTGAGCTATACTCTCTGCCCCTCATCCATTTTTAAATTGAGTTGTGAGTTTCTTTTTAATTGAGTTTTGAGAGTTTTTAAAAGTTTCCTATTAGCATGATTGGCTTTTATTTTATTCATTTATTTATTATTATTATTTTTTGGTTGGAGGGAGGTAATTAGGTTTATTTACTTATTTATTTTTAGAGGAGGTACTGGGAATTGAACCCAGGACTCATACATGCTAAGCATGCACTCTACCACTTGAGTTATATCCTCCCCACCAAGAGTTTTTTTTTTTTTTAATATGTTTTCCATATGAGTTCCTTACCAGATATGTGATTTGGAAATTTTTTTCTCCCAGTCTGTGAGTTATCTTTTCATTATCAAAGATACTGTAGCTGCATTCATTTGGGCTGGTTTAAACCTGGTTTTGTGTAATGCGTGTTTTAGGGAGAGGTGGGTTGGATGATGTCTCAAAAGCCAGTGCAGCTGTACTAATTTATACCTTAGATATGATGATTATTGCAAGAAGGGATAGCCCATGAGGTGTCACTGTGTGTTTGTCTTCCTTGAAAATGTCTGAAACGGGCTAGCCGATTTGGGATCAACTTCTAAAAATCAATCGCTAAGGAGTATACTGTACACAAACCAAGAAGGGCATCAAACTCAATAGGATTCAGGAGGAGTTCCTGAGAAGCCACAGAAAATTTGCTCTATATGTGGGACCAGGGTTTTCCACAAGTAAATGGGGCTTTCAGGCTGAGCCCTTTTTTGGCTAGGAGGGGAGCTGGCAGCTGGAAGGGCTAAGGACTGAATGCTGTTGAAATCTCTCTGTTAATAAATGCTTTTGTCTAGTGGCAGGTTCACCTTATGGGCAACTCTGAAACCAGCAGAACTGATCTTCCCTGCCTCCTACCTCCCCTTGCAAGGACCCACCTTCCACCTTCCCAGCCAGCACTCACGGATTGCCTTCCCCAACCAATAATCTGAGACGCTTAATCCATTTAAGAAAACGCCTGTTCCCTAGGGCAGTGTTTAAATGTATATACCAGCCATTATTTGTCCAACCTACTGTTAACTGAACAGTTCATCACATTGTTTAAACATTCTATATTCTTAATGACTGTTAACACATTCTAGTATCAGTCCTCTTCTGGGGCACACGTGTACTTATCTCTGTTACGTTTGTATCAGGAGTGAGCCTAATGGGTCAAAGGACAAGCGTACCTTTAGCTATAGTAGATACTATGAAATAGTTTTCCAAATGGTTGTACTAATTCACACCCTTACCAGCAATGAACAGGAGAGCCCTGATTGTCTCACATCCTCATTAATATTTGCTATTCTCAGTCTGTAATTTTAGATAGTTTGGGAAGTATGTAGTAGTAATGAACTGTGGTTTCAATCTGAATTTCTATTATCCATCTATTTCAATATATCCTATTCCACTTGCTCTCTTTACAGTGTGACCTTGATACTCCACTTGCCTCCTTTTGAACCTTTGTGGTCGTTCATGCGACTTTTTTTTGAGGCTAGATCGTGTAAATCAGTGCATTTCTGTCCTGCTCCCTTGGATGCTAACTCTTGGAACTTTGATTGTATATTTTTGGTTTTAGTGATTTCTAGCTTAATTCTGCAATGGGCAGAGACCATGTTTTGTATAATTTCAAGCATTAAAAGTTTGTTGATACACAAATGGCCCAGTATATAACCTTTCTGGTAAAAATTCCACGTGCGCATGATGAGAATGTATATCCCGCTTTTGTCGGGTACATGTTCTATAAATTCTGATTAGGTTAATTTTATTTATTGTTTTCTTTAAATGTCTTATACTCTGATTTTTTTTTGCCTCATTTTATCAGTTGCTGAGATTGTATTTTTAAAAAAGTGCATTTGACTAAGATTGCAGATTTTAATATTTTCTATAGTTCTGTCAATTTTTTTGCTTTATATATTTTGAAGCTATTATTAGATTATAGAAATTTAAAATGAATATATCTACCATATGGTGAATCCAACCTTTGATCATTATGCAACATCCCTCTTTGCCCCCAGTAATGCTATCTTAAAGTTTTCTTCGTCTGATATCAGTAAATCACATCCCTGGCTTGCTTTTAGTTAGTGCTTGCAATTGTGGCAGTTTGTCCTCTCCAAAGATGGCCACAATGTTTCCCATCCCACTTGCTCTCTTTATAGTGTGACCTTGATACTCCATCAGTGGAGTGGTGGAGCTTATGTTGTTGTCTCCTTCTGAAACTTTGTGGCCCTTTATGTGACTTCTGAGGCTAGATCTAGAAAATTAATATCCTTCTGTCCTGTTCTCTTGGAAGTCAGCTACCAGGATGAGAAACCCCACACTGGCCCACATGGAGGGATCATAAGAAAAGATCGCGTTAGGTGTTTGGGCCAACAGCCCAGCTGAGGTCCCAATGTGAAGTGTTAAAACATGTGAAGATGCCTCTCTGACACCAGCCCCCCGCTGTTGAGTCACTCCCCGCCTTAAAGTCATCCCCAGCCTCCAAGTCTTTCCAGCTGAGGCCCCAGACATCTTGAAGCAAAAACAAGCCACACCACTGCTCCTTCCAGGCGCAGTGAACACCATCTCCTGATTGTAAATATAATAAAAAGGTTGTTTTATGCCACTAAATTTTGAAGTTGTGAGCAATAGTAACCAGAACAGTGTAGTATAAGTTTTCTATCCTTTGTTAACCTTTGTACATCTTAATTTTTTAAGATGTGTCTCTTGTAAAAAGTATGCAGGCTTGTAAAAAAAAAATTGAGTCTGACAATTTTTGTCTTTTAATTGGAGGATTTAGTCTATCTATGTTATAGTAATAATGTACTTGAGTTTAAATTTTCCATCCTAGTATTTTCTTATTATTTATTATGCTTTTTGTGTCTTCTTTTTCCTCTTATTTTGGATTGATTATATTTTATTATTGCATCCTCCCCTCATTAGCTTGCTAGTTATACATTCTAAATAACTTTTAACAATTACACTAGAAATTACAAAATGCATCCTGGACTTTTCATTCAAATTTAAAGTTTCACATAACTTCTTAAGATAACCGTCACTAAGTTGAGAGAATGAAGCATGTAGACAAGGAAGCAAAGAAATAAATTAGGACCGAAAATTATATCTAAGAAAGATATAGTGTGACTTCTGACGCATGGGGTGGTTAGGTCTCTGTGGATCCGAAACCAAGTAAGTTTTTGAAGGGATCGTATTTTCCAAGAAACCATGAGCCTTAGACAGCCTCAGGTGTTGTAAGTTTTAAAACAGCCATTGGATCCCCAAGTTTCAGAAAAAAGCAAGAAACCGTCTGCAACAGCTTTACAGCCTTCCAGGGAGACACCCTCTCCAACCAGACATGTCACCAGGCTCTCCAGCCCACCCCCACCCCCGGCCCAGGCTGGAGGGGCGCGGGGCTCATCGAGGGCACACTTACTGGCTGGGGGAGGGGCTCCGGAGGTACCGCGCCTGCACGGCCCTCACGTCGGCTTCATCCTCTTCGCCTGGAACCACCTGCTCCTCCTCTGGGTCCCCACTGGTCGCCATGACAGCCTGTCAGCCTCTGTAAGTTTGGTGCGAAAAAGCCGGTCAGGGACTCTGGTTCTGGAGGTTTTGTAGGGGGAAGGAGGTGTGTCCGTGATGTCACTTGGGTGGAACTAGGAATGGGAAAGTCACTACACGTGAGCAGCCCGACAGAGAAAGGACCTGTGGGGAACACCAGGCAGACTTGGCCCGGCTGTCATC